TTTTTGCGTATGTGGTGCTGAGGAATCGAACCCAGGGCCTCAGGCATGCAAGGCAAGCACTCTACCACTGAGCCACCTTCCCAGCCCTGGTGTGGGATTCTCTTTCAGCAGTAGGAGAGGTTGGGGGCACATTGCTGGCTCTGCAACTGGAGTGATACAACACAGCTCTTGAAGCTGAAGCTGAGTCTTGCTCACCAGACTGGTTCTGCTGCCTGGTTCTGGGCACCGTTCCTGGCTATATAGCTCCATGTCAAAGGGGAAATAAATCTGTGAAGTAGCCAGTTCTTTTCTTTTTTATGAGACAGTGTCTCACTGTGAGTAGCATGCATAATGTGCATTTCAAGGGCATGTGATGGCACCTGGCTCTAGCCAATGTATTTTTTGTGCTATGTATGCCATTACTGGGACTTGAACTGGAGGCCTGGGCATTGGCCTTCAGCTTTTTCATTCAAGGCTGGCCCTCCTGCACTTGAGCCATACCTCTACTTCTGGCATTTTTTTTTTTTTTGGTCCAGTTGTGGGGCCTGAACTCTGGGCCTGGGCGCTGTCCCTCAGCTCTTCAGCTCAAGGCTAGCGCTCTACCACTTGAGTCACAGCACCACTTCCGGCTTTTTTCTTTTTGCTTATGTGGTGCTGAGGAATCGAACCCAGGGCCTCAGGCATGCAAAGCACGCGCTCTACCACTGAGCCATCTTCCCAGCTCCCCTGGCATTTTTTTTTTTATTACTGAAGATAAGAGACACGTGAACTTTTCTACCTCAATGGCTTCAAACCTCAGTCTTCAGATTTCAGCCTCCTGAGTATCCAGGAATGCACATATGAGCCATTGATACCTGGTTTAGCCAAAGTGTGTGTGTGTGTGTGTGTGTGTGTGTGCGCGCGCGCGCAATCCTGGGGTCTGAACTCAGAGCCTGGGCACTGTCTCTGAGCTTGTGTGCTTGTGTACTTGACTAGCATTCTACCACTTGAGCCACAACTCCACTTCTGGCTTTTCTCTGGTTAATTGGAGATATGAGTCTCACAGATTTTACTTTCCAGGCTGGCTTTGAGCTGTGATGCTCAGATCTCAGCCTCCTGAGTAGCTAGGATTACAGGCATGATCCACTGGTGCCCAGCCTAACCAATGTATTTTTAGTAAATTCCTTTTGGCCTAAATTAGCCAGAACATTTTCTGTTGCTTACAGCTTAAATACTAACTAATCCCAGTGCAGTTAAAAACAAAAACAATATCCTCAAAGGCCTTGTTAACCATCCTGGTTCTTGAAGTAACCTTCTACCTGACTTCCTGATTTCCTGCACACTTCCCAAATGTTTTGCAGATGACAAATAATATTAATGGCAAGTCTATGAATTAATTGCTTCTGGCACAAATGTCTACCTCATTGTTCAGTCACAAACAATCCACAGAGAGGGGCAGGCTCCTGTGGTTGTGCAGCTGCTAGTCTGGGGAGCAGAAAGTGGGGCATCCTCATCATTAGATGCCCAACAGACATGGGGGCTGGCTGTCTAAGCAGACCTCTAATCTGTTTTGGGGAAGTCAGAAAAGGCTCTCTGAAGGAAGACATTCTGAGCTGGAACCTGCCAGATTAAGTATAAGTTAGGCAGGAGGTAAGGTAAAATGGGCACTGGTGGCTCTTACCTGTAATCCTAATACTCAGGAGGCTGAGATCTGAAGATTAGGATTTGAAGCCAGCCCACACAAGAAAGTCTGAGATTCTCATCTCCAATTAACCACCAAAAAGCTAGAAGTGGAGCAGTGGCTCAAGTGGTAGAGCACTAGCCTTGAGCAAGAAAGCTAAGGGAAAGCTTCTCTGCTTCTACTATCCTCGGATCTCAGCCTCCTGAGTAATTAGGATTACAGATGTGAGCTACCAAGACTGCTTGTTTTGTTTTTTTGAGAAGGCTTTTCTTATCTAGGCCAGACTGATCTCAAATTCCTGAGCATCCTTCATCAGCCTCAAGTCTTGGGATTACAGGCACACACTATCAGACCTAGATCAACATATCATTTTCTATACTTGTGGGACATGTGAAGACAGAAGTTCGGAAGGCAGTTGGACATATGTATTTGGTCTCAGGAAAGGGGTAGGAACTAGCGATCCGAGAGTTACTGGGGTAGCAGTGTTGTTGAAGGCTAGAAGAATGGTAAACACCATGCCAGGTACTTATGGTTCATAAACATAAAGAGAGCCTAGGAACAAGGCCAGCTGCTGAGGAAGGGCAGAGGAAAAAGAATTCATAAAGGAGACTGGGAAGTATCAATCAGATAGGTAAGAGAAAACCAAGAACACTGGTGATGTGGTCAAATATCATCCAAACAGCTGGACTCATCAACTGTGCTGAAACCAAAAATACAGTCCCAAGAAAAGTAGTAGGCATGAGTATGAAAGCTACAAGATCGCCGAGCACTGGTGGCTCATGCCTGTAATCCTAGATACTCAGGAGGCTGAGATCTGAGGATCACAGTTCAAAGCCAGTTCTGACAGGAAAGGCCGTGAGACTCTTATCTCCAATATACCACTCAGAAAATTGGAAGTGGTGCTGTGGCTCAAGTGGTAGAGCGCTAGCCTTGAGCTGAAGAGGTGAGAGACAATACCCAAACTCAGAGTTCAAGCCCCATGACCAACAAAAAAGAGAGAAAGAGAGAGTTATAAGATCAAGTAAGATGGTAATGGAGATGTCAAGTGGAGGGCATTAGCAACTGTGGCACAACCAAGTCAATGGGGGTAGAGGAGGTGCAGGAAGGAAAACCAGCCTAGTGGGATAAGAGAAGGCTGAGAGAGGGAGGTCAGGAAGAGGAGATTTAGAATTAGGTATCTGAGAAAATGGCTGCAATGGGGAGGAGAGGAGCCCTATGGTGAGACTTTTAAAAGAGGTTGGTGGTCAGAGGAGTCCACCCCACATCCCCCCAGCATGGAAGGAAAGGGAAGACAGTTGAGCCAATAGGAAGGCTTGGGGGAAAGTTATGGAGGGAGATGATAAGGACTTGTGCTCTGGAGGGAGACTATTGCCTGGGTTACAGGAGTCCTTAATCAGGCTAATATTTCCTGTTCATCCTCATCCCCTTCCTGACTCTGGCCTGACCCTCCTTGGAGCTGTAAGAGTAAAGGATCAAGTCATACCCTGGAAGCAGCTTGGAGCCTCTGGAGGTCTTTCTGCATGCCTGTATGCTAGGGCTGGAACTGGGGAAGGAGGAAGATCCTTGTGTGTTGGGTGGGGGTAGGGGCTCTGGGGGGGGAGGGGGTTGCATGGTATTAAGAGGCCAAGAACCTGGAGATGCTAGTTTAGGCTTTGTAAATAAGTTTAGGAGGTTGAGAAGTGTGGAAACAAGAGTTTCTGAGGAATACAGGAGTAGGGGGCAATGGAGGAGCAATGCCAAGGGCTGATGGGACGTCTGTTCAAGTTCCTCTCGTCCACAGGTCCCCATGCCTCTCCTCTTCTTGCTGGTCCTGCTGCCGAGCCTCCTACGCTCCCATCCCCTGTGCGATGTCTCCAAAGTGAGCAGTCAGCTGGAGGTGAACTGTGACAACAGGAAGCTGAAAGCCCTACCTGCCGACCTGCCAACAGACACAAGCATCCTCCATCTGGGCAAGAACCACCTGGATACCTTCTCCTTGGCATTGGTGGGGCATTTCACTCAGCTCACTGAGCTGTACCTAGATCACAGTGAGCTGTCCACCCTGCAGACTGATGGGACCACACTGCCACTGTTAAAGAAACTGGATCTCTCTCACAATAAGCTGCAAAGTCTCCCCACCCTGGGGCGTGTACTGCCTGCACTTACCAGCTTGGACGTCTCCTTCAACCAGCTCAATTCCTTGTCTCCTGATGTCCTGGATGGCCTCAGCCAACTCCAACATCTCTTCCTGCAGGATAACAACCTGGAGTCCTTGTCCTCTGGCCTCCTGATATCCACAACCAGACTGGAAAAGCTCAATCTGTCCAACAACAGACTCAAGGAGCTGCCTCTCGGGCTCCTGGAGAGGCTGGAGGAGCTTGACACCCTCTACCTTCAGGGGAACTGGCTCCGCACCATACCCAAGGGCTTCTTTGGGAATCTCGCCCTGCCTTTTGTTTTTCTCCATAGCAACTCCTGGTTCTGTGACTGTGAGATCCTCTATTTCCGACGCTGGCTGCAGGACAATGCCAACAATGTCTACTTATGGAAGGAGGGTGTGGACGTCAAGGCCATGACCCCCAACGTGGCAAGTGTACGATGTGCCAATTTGGGCGGCACACCCATCTATACCTACCCAGGGAAGGACTGCCCTGTCCCCGGTGACGGGGATGATACGATCTACGATGACTATGAGGATGTCTCTAGGAGTGGCCCCATCCATGCCACCAGGACTGTGGTCAAGTTCTCTACCTACGCCAAGGCCCACACAACCCACTGGGGCCTCTACTCGGAGTCGACTGCTGCTCCAGACAGAACAATGTTCTCTTTGCCTTCAACCCAAGAATCCACCGAGAAACTGAGCACATTCCCAGCTGGACGGCTGTCACAGTCCTCTGCCTTCCTGGTGACCATGGGACCTACTGCCTTCTCCAAAATTCTAGAACTTTCTACTGAATCCACCACGACCCCAGAACCCACTACCACCGCAACCACCCCAGAGTCTACCATCACCCCAATCACCCAGGAGCCCACCACCACCCCGACCACCCCAGAGCCTACCACCACCCCGACACCCCCAGAGCCCACCACCACACCGATCACCCTGGAGTCTACCACCACCCAGACCACCCCAGAGCCCACCACCCCAGAGCCCACCACCACCCCGACCCCCCCAGAGCCCACCACCACCCCGACCCCCCCAGAGCCCACCACCACCCCGACCCCCCCAGAGCCCACCACCACCCAGACCACCCTGGAGCCCACCACTACCACAACCACCCCAGAACCTACCTCAGTCCCAACTACCCCAGGTCCCACCACAACTCTGACCACTCCAAAACGATCCTTTCCCACAGAACTTACTTCATTCACTAATGCTGCAGAGCCCATCCACATAATCCACCTCCCAGAGCCCCGTTGGGTGGCAGCTCAAGGGAATTATGACAGCTCTAGGAAGGACCCTTTCCTCCCCGCTGATGCCTGCTGCCTCCTCTCCATGGTCTTCTACATCCTGGGTCTCTTCTGGCTCTCACTTGCCTCTGTGGTCCTCATCTGCCTGCTGACCTGGGTCTGGCATGTGAAACCACATGTTTTGGATCCTGACCTGGCCCCAGCCACACAGATTACACACGTGGAAATACAGAGGGGCAGACAGGTGGCGGTGCCCAGAGCCTGGCTGCTCTTCCTTCAAGGGGCACTCCCTACTTTCCGTTCCAGCCTCTTCCTGTGGGTACGGCCAAATGGCCGGATAGGTCCTCTGGTACCAGGACGGCGGCCCTCGGCCCTGAGTCAGGGTCGTGGTGAGGATCTGCTGGGCAGAGTGGGCATTAGGTATTCTGGTCATAGTCTCTAAAGGCCAGGGCTTTGGGGGACCTTGGGAAAAACTCTGATGGGTTCTCCTATTGGTGTCTGGCTAAGGCACACAGAGCCACAGGGAGGTCTTAATAATTATTTTTAAAACTCCAAAGCCCACTCTTCACAACTGGGCATATGAACCCAGACCCCATAAATTGGCAGGGTTAGTGTGACAATGGAGTTGGCAGGATTACAGAGCCACGATCCCTTTGCTGCGTGGGAGTGAAGGGAAGGTTACCAGGCCACATGACTACTGCCATCACTTTGGGAAAGAATTTAAGAAAGAGTAACTAACCCACAGGTATCCACATGTAGAAGACAATTTGGAAAGTGATTTGTAGAGGTGAGCACTGATTACTTCCAAGTGTCTTAAACTATATTTCTCCCCTCCCACCCCTGCTTAGCATTTTCTAGTTTCCACCATCATTGTATACTTCTTGTATAATAAAAATAATATACAAAATTAAACATTTGTTTTGATGAAGTGACTAAGAAACCTGTTATGATTTCTCAAGGTACCAGCTGGTCACTGGAGGCTCACACCTGTAATCCTAGCTACTTGGGAAGTTGAGACTGGATCAGTTTGAGGCCAGCCTGGACATAAAAAGGTTGGGAGATTCTTTTTGATTGAGGGCTGGGCTTGGTGGTGCATACCAGTTGTCCTACTTTTTATCAGGAAGCCTAAAGTAGGTAGATCATGGCCCTAACATATGCCAGGGTAGACAGCAAGACTCTACATGGAAAATGACCAGAGCAAAAAAAAAGGGGGGGCTGGAGGCATGATTCAGTGGCAGGCTGAGTTCAAGTTCAAACCCTAATCTGCCAAAATAATAGTAATAATAGCAACAACAATAAATCCGAAGTTCCAACTGCTCCTTAGTCCAAAATTCCCAACCAACTCCACACATAGGGCCCTTTCTCCTGCCTAGATGGCTCCTCTCCTGAAGGGCCCAAGCATGAGCTCTCTAACAGTCTGGAGAGTTAAGAAGCATTGCTAAGGCCTACCTGCTGGTAGCCTACAGTGCTAGTGAGAATAGTGGGTGCCTAGAGCCTCAGAACTGGGAACACAGCCCTGCTCACTGTACAGGGGGAGGTGTGGTCTACCAGTATCTCATCTAGGTCGATCAGAAGTCTCAGGTTTTGTTTTTTTTTTAAACCATTAAAGCCAAAACACAGGTAAATGGGTTCCTTTACTCCTGATTCTGCCATTTGCTAGCCACATCCGTGAGGCCTTCAAGCCTCAGCCCAAGCCAGGACTTGGGGCCAGAAAATGGGAGTGAAGACTGCCATCTTTCTGAGATCCCTTCCTCTAGGTGGCTCTGGAAGGGTCTTCTTAATCTGAGACCCTGACCGAATTTCTGTCCTACATTGAATGCTTCTCCAGGTAGAGGACATCTTTTTTTTGTGGGGGTGGGGTGGGGAGGAGGGGGTCCGGTCGTGGGGACTGAATTCTGGGCCTGGGCACTGTCCCTCAGCTCTTCAGCTCAAGGCTAGCGCTCTACCACTTGAGCCACAGCGCCACTTCGGCTTTTTTTTCCTGCTTATGTGGTGCTGAGGAATTGAACCCAGGGCCTCATGCATGCAAGGCAAGCACTCTACCACTGAGCCACCTTCCCAGCCTGACATTTTTATTATTATTATTCTGGTTGGTTGTGGGGCCTGAACGCTGTCCCTCAACTCTTCAGCTTAAGGCTAGTGCCCTACCACTTGAGCCACAGCGCCACTTCTGACTTTTTCTGCTTATGTGGTACTGAGGAATCAAACCCAGGGCCTCATGCATGCAAGGCAAGCGCTCTACCACTGAGCCACCTTCCCAGCCCCCTAGAGGATACTCTTGAACTCAGCAATCAAGGACTTGTAGACACTGATTCCCTTTATCAGTCCGGCTTCATCTCCCATCTGTGCATGAACCACTGTAGTAAACACCTCACAAATCACTGCCTCCAGCAATGTTCCCTCTCTGAGCTTTCGCCCTCATTCTTTCCAATTTTCTACCTCTGTCCACCTTATCAACCTGTCCAACTGCCACTGTGTGCAAGTTTCTCCTCCTGTACTAGGCTGAGAGCAAGACCCATCGCCACCCCCTCTCCCACATCCCCACAACTCCAGTTGTTTCTCTTAACGATAAGGTCCAGGCTTGATGTGTCTCAAAGTAGCCATGGCAGGGTATGGTGTGAGGCAGGGCTGGATGTCAGTGGCTCACACCTGTGATCCTAGCTACTCAGGAGACTGAGATCTGAAGATCACAGTTCAAAGCTAGTTTGGGCAGAAAGTCTGGGAAACTCTTACAACCAGTTAAAAGTGGAAAGTGGAGGCGTAGCTGAAGTAGTAGAGTGCCAACCTAGAGTAAATAAGGCAGACAGTACCTGGTCCTTGAGCTCAAGCCCCAGTACTGGTACCAAAAAAATAAGTAAATAAAAGAAGCAGAAACAGGGGCATGAAGAGTCCGAGTTCTACTTCTTGCGGAGTCTTGTCAGGCTCTGCCAAGGGGAAAAGCTCTCACCTGCTGCCTGCCTGTCCTCTGGACTGGCAGGCAGCCCTCAGGCTGCCAGTACTCCTTTTGGAGTGACCTTGCCATTCCCCTTTAGGGGCTAAGACGTTTGTCAGCTCCTTGAGGGGAGAGCCTGGGGAATCCACTTTTCAAGATGTGGATAGGGCAGTCACAGCCCAAGTCTTCCTTCCCTCAATCCTGGAATCTGGCTCTGGGGCCCGCCTCACCCCCAGCCCCACCCGTGTGGCTCCTGCCTACAAGCCTGACTCAGCCTCTTTATCCCTTTATCCCCTCCCTCTTAAGGCTGCAAAGACGGTCACTCAATCCCAGAGGCTTTTCTGGGGACTGTGTCAGATGATTTGTGTGCTGGCTGCATTCTTGGGCAAGTGGCTTGGGGGTAGCACGGGGCCTGGAGTTTTCAGCTCTGCCCTGTCAGCTGTTGGAGCATGACTGATTTACATAGCATTTTCATAAAACCAGCAGGTGCTTTTTCTTTAATCATTTTTTTCTTAAAATCTCCAGTTCCTGTTTTCCAGGGACATCAGCTTCTTTGTCCAGTCTCCTCCCCGCCCTGAACTCCCACAACTGTCCGAGATTTGAGGGCGGTGTCACCAATTCAATTTATTAATTAGGTCTTCAGTGAGTGGGAGGAGAGGCCAGATTCTCCCACCGTGGACTCTCTTGACCATCCAGATAGCTTCTGTTCTCTCTCAACTCAGTTCTACCTTGGTTTCCCCACTGAGAAGCAAGATCTGCTTTCCTGTGTGCCCTGAGATATACCCAAAAAGGAACTAGAAATCCTCAGGGAGTTTCCCAGCTTCCCCCAAGAAACAACCAGGGACACAGTGATCATAGAATCAGGCCAAGCAGGGCAAGCTGTAACAGAGAGTAGAACAGATTGAAGTCCTTTACCGCAAAGGAGAGAACCACACTGGAGGGGAAATAAATAGAGGGGCTGGGGGCAGCAGAGACCAGGCCCCCTGGAGCAGTGGTGATTGGAAGCTCCAGCACACTGGCTCCAGGACCTCTGCCACCTCAGCCACTGAGGAAGAGACGCTTGTAGGCCTTGTTCATCTGTTCCAAGAAGATGAAGGTGAGGACAGTGTGGGGGCCCAGGCGGGCATAATATGGTGTGAAGCCCTTCCACAGGCTGAAGAAACCCTCATAGCGGATGACCTTCATCAGCACATCCTAGACAGACAGGCAGGCAGGGTGCTGGGGCTAGGACTTGGTTTTTAGGACTCCATCTCTTTACCCGGTTACCCTCAGAGCCCTCCCAGGGCATGGGACCCTCCACCCCAAGCTCCCTCTGCCCTGTTTCCTCACCAGCCCATTCTTGTATTCTGGCTTCCCGTCAATCATTCTCATATTCTGGATCCTGCAGGAGAGGACGAAGGGGCATGAGAAACCAAAAGCCCTCCTATTCCACTCCAGGCCCAGGCCTGAACACTCACCGGGTCTTGACAATGTCCACAGGCATGGAGGCGGCAGTAGTGACAAGGCCGCTGATCATGCTTGCACAGAAGTGACACAGGATATTGTCGGAGAAGTAGCCTGTGGGGGAGAAGTGTTGGGGGAGGGGTGATATTCAGCTCAGAAGGTGATATTCAGCTCAGCAGTAACCCAGGGCAGACTGGGAGCTGAGGGCCAGTTTGGGGTCTTACCTGAGTCCAACAAGAACTGCTTGGATTGGGAGTACGAGGCAAGCTGGGCAGCATTGACAACAACAGCCCGAGCCATGGTAGGGATGCAACCCTGGGAGTGAGCAAATGGAAGAGTAAAAAATGTCAAAGACATGACCACACATCCCCCAAGTCCCCACTCCCTTCACTCACCCGCCACAGTGTGGGGACTCCCTCTTCCCGGGCAATTCGAATCAGGGCATTAAACACATTTTTGTAGCCACGACGCTGGTCAGCTGGAAGCCTGGTGTTGGGGCAGGAAGAGACCAAGATCAGGTCAGCCCACAAATAGCAAAGACAGAGAGGCCTGAACAGACAAATGCTCTGTTCTAGGCGTGAGATGGAAACAATGCCAACAACAACAAAACAAACTGGTCCTTTCATTTTTAGATTGCAGAAATGGGGTTGGGGTTAGGCTCAGACCTGGAACTCACCGGCCATCAGCAGTCATGCGGATAAGAGCTACCTCAGCTGGTGTTCCCACAAATGCACCAGTTGCACCTGCAGTCATGCCAATCAGGGCCTTCAGCAGAAAGCCAGGGGGTGTACCATCTGCCCCAGTCAGGCGCTCAAACAGCACAGTATAGATGCCGAGGCGGGTAGTGGTGTAGGTGGCCTGGCGAAGCAGGCCAGCTGACAACCTGGAAAGCAAAGGGATCAATATGTCAGGGCCAAGGTCTGGACTTGCTGACAACACACCACATACCCTCCCTCCCAACCTGAGGCTCCAGTACCCAGTGTAAATGCCCTTCAGACCCTCAGCCTTCAGGATGCTGGTGAGGGCATGGAAACTGGTTTTGTATTCTCGAGTTTTGGCGCCTTCTCCACTCAGCTGCATCCGGTTCTTCACCAAGTCCAAGGGTTGCACAAAAACTGTAGCTCCCATCCTGGGGGAAGAAAGGATTAGAGCAAGAGGTCAGTTGTTTCAGATCTACTCATGCCTGCTTAAGCCAGGCAGCAAGAAGTTACAAAGGTCAGGGCCTGCTGGTGTACATGTGTGTAAGAGTGTGGGCAGCAAGAGAAATATGCCTGAGAGGTATAGCTGTCCAATAGGGTCCATGCAATGAAAGTGCTTTGGGCAGTTCCACGAAGGTCAAGCGGTGAACAGGAACCACCGAGCGGGTGGAGGGAGCATCCATGGCCTGGGACCCTGAAGTTACTATTTAATGAATCGTTTAATGACATGGAATCTCAGCGAGCTAGCTAGTCCCAAACACCCCAGCCGGCCAAGCAGAGTCAAACAGGTGGACTGGAAAACTCAGGTGTTTAGCCTGGTGAGGGTCGTGCAATAAAACCTGAATGCAGCCCAATAAGGACTTGCAATGGGAGAAAAGATCCTGGCTGCCCATCAAAGCTCCTGCAATACGACTGGAGATCAACTGAACCCAGTGCAGGCTCAGTTCACTGAAAAACATTCCGAGATGAAGCGGGGCCCGGGTGCTAGCGCCAGTCCCTTCCTCCTCCTTTCCCACCCTTGGGGCCTGAGCTTACCCGGCCAGGCCCCCAAACAGGAACTTGACGGACTTAGGGGAGGTACGGGGCTTCCCGTCCACCCCGCGGATCCCGGCATTCGCCGTCGCCGCCATCGCCACTCAAAGGTCCCCGGCTTCGGGTCCCGTACGCGCGCGGCCCCGCTCGCGCCCAAGGTGACACCGAGCGCGCCACAGAGCGAGGGCGCGCGCGCGCGAGCCCCTCCGGCATTCAGGTCCAGCCCCGGCTGGAAGCTGGTGCTGGCGCAGGCGCGCAGCGCAAAGGCGCCTGGGAATGGGCGTGGCCGAGGGTGGAGCTTGAAGGGTGTATGAGGGAAGGGGTGTGGCCGATTTAGAAAGCAGAAGTGTGGGCGCAGTTTTTACCGAATAGGAATCGCGGGAAAATAGTTTGTTTGAAAGTCTCGCGAGAGCCAGTGAGTCAGACTAGCTGGACTTAGGAAGTCTCTCGCGATAAAGGCCACAAGCTTTCCGATGCAGGGGAGGGGCGCGTGGGAGGAGGGCCAAGCACTCTCGCGATATTTGGAGGGACGGCGGCGGCTAGACGGAGGATCAGAGGTTTGTAAACAGGGCAGCTCCAGAATCTCGGGCAATAAAAGGAAACGATTAGGTTGTCTTCTGGGTACTGGTGCTCCCTTCACTTTACAGGCTCTCCTTCCATCCCTCACATGTCTTTTAACCGGCCTTTCAGGACCGGAAGTCCTTCGTCTTGAGCATCCAGTGTTGGAAGCGGCCTGACTTTACCGGAAACCCTTTTCCCGGGGATAGGAAGACGACCCACCTGGCCGGAAGTCATTCCTCCTTGTGCTTTCCTCCCCCCGCCCCCTCTCGGAAGTTTCTGTCACCTGTGTTTGCCTCCGATCCTTTTCTGTTTTATTTCCATACTAGAAAGAACCCACTTACCTAAGTCTCCTTCCCAGTTCCACTAAACGAATTGGATATCTCCCTCCCCGAGTCGGGGCTCCTCCCCCGGCGCCCCCATGTAGGTGAGAATGGGGCCCTAGGGGTGGTTACCCCTAGGATCCTGAAGGAGGGTCCGAGAGCTCTGTTTCTGCTCCTGCTATCAGGACGCGACCTCCCCAGCCCTTCTCCTCTTGCTGTCATGCACTCTGCAGCCTTCCCGCTTCCTGTGGTTGTGGCCACTGTGCTGTGGGGAGCATCCCCCATCAGGGGGCTCATTCGAGCGACCTCAGAACACAATGCCGGCATGGACTTTGCAGACCTCCCGGCATTATTTGGAGCTGCCTTGAGCCAAGAGGGACTCCAGGGGTTCCTTGTGGAGGCTCACCCAGAAAATGCCTGCAGTCCTATTGCCCCACCACCCCCAGCCCCGGTCAATGGGTCAGTCTTTATTGCACTGCTTCGAAGATTCGACTGCAACTTTGACCTCAAGGTTGCTGAATGTGGAGTGGGAGCTGGGAATTTGAGGGCAAACAATAGGACCAGGCATGAAGAGAAAGGGTTCACGATGGCTCTTTGTTCCCTGCCTTGTCCCCTTAGGTCCTAAATGCACAGAAAGCTGGATATGGCGCAGCAGTGGTACACAATGTAAATTCCAACGAACTTCTCAACATGGTGTGGAATAGTGGTAAGTTGGAGGTCTGGTCAGCTGGGTTTTCAGTAGCATTTAGATCTGGAGCTAGTGGGAGGTTTGAAGGCTTACAGACCTTTGTGTGGAATGGATAAAAAGTGCCAAATGCCAGGTCCCCAAAGGATGAGTAAGTTGAGATCCCATGTAATGTCCTGATCCCTGCAGAGGAAATCCAGCAGCAGATCTGGATCCCATCTGTCTTTATTGGAGAAAGAAGTGCTGAGTACTTGCGTGCCCTCTTTGTCTACGAGAAGGGGTAGGATATGTGCTTCCATACCTCTCTTCAATTCTGTGCCAACCTGGCAGCCTCACTGCCCCCCCCAATGGGTCTTAGATCAATCCTCCCATAACTCTTGCCCTCCTTCCCACTTCCGTTTTCATAAATGAGTCTTGTCCAGAGCCAGTTGCCTTTTCTTGCCTTCCTTGAGACTGGTCTTCCTTTCTTCAGGGCTCGGGTACTTCTGGTTCCAGACAATAGCTTCCCTCTTGGCTATTACCTCATTCCTTTCACTGGGATAGTAGGACTGCTGGTTTTGGCCATGGGAACAGTAATGGTGAGTGGCTCTGTGCATCTGGAGAGCTGGGGCTAAGGTTGGACTGGATCTGAGAATGGGGGTATATGGGAAGGGGAGGGTGTACTGAATTTTTCTGTTTTGTTCTCTAAGCCTGGAATATCCAATTCCCCCTTCTCCCAGATAGTTCGTTGTATCCAACACCGGAAACGGCTTCAACGGAATCGGCTTACCAAAGAGCAATTGAAACAGATTCCTACCCATGACTATCAAAAGGGTAAGGGTACAGGAAGGAAGATCACTGCTTATCTAGTTCTGAAGGAGCTTGAGCCCAAGCAGTTAAGGGGTACAAAGATGGCAGAGGGGAGTGGCGCTGTGGTTCAAGTGGTAGAGTGCTCGCCTTGAGCTGAAGAGCACAGGGACAGCACCCAAGCCTAGAGTTCAAGCCCCATGACCGACCCCCCCCCAAAAAAAAAAGATGGCAGAGATGCCATCTTTTTTTTTTCCTCCACAAATACAAAGAGGATATGAGAGCAGGTAGACAGAAGCCAATTATGACCAAGGAAAGTAGTTCGAGGGCTAGGCCTTGTGTATAAATAAGGTAGAGAGCAGAAGGATGGAAGGCATGTGGAACATTCTAAGAAACCAGTGAAGGACAGGGTCTTTTGGCTCCACAGCCTCCGATGTCCATATAAGGCTATATCAGGAGCCCTGCCCCTGCATTTCCGCTCCTCCCACTGATCTCCACCCTCCCTTCCCCCAAAACCCACTTCCCTTCTTACCTCTGCTTTGCTTGTCCCCTTCTGCCCCATTGTTCAGTGTCCTGCCCTGGCCTTGTCCTACTTCCCTGCCTGGTCATCTTAGTTCTTCCATAAGTCTACCAGAGTAGGTTCTTAAGCCACCCTGGTTCAGAATGGTTCAATGAAGGAAGAGATTCCTTTCTTCTGTAGGAGACCAGTATGATGTTTGTGCCATCTGCTTGGATGAATATGAAGATGGGGACAAGCTGCGTGTACTCCCCTGTGCTCATGGTGGGTGAGACATTCATTGATTGTACTTGTGCCCCCACCCCACCAGTTGCCACCAGCCTGGTGCTTCACACATTCTTCTCCACAGCCTATCACAGCCGCTGTGTGGACCCCTGGCTTACTCAAACCCGGAAGACTTGCCCCATCTGCAAGCAGCCAGTTCATCGGGGCCCTGGGGATGAGGAGCAGGAGGAAGAAAATCAAGGCCATGAGGAGGGTGATGAGGAAGGGGAGCCAAGGGACCACCCTGCCTCAGAGCGAACCCCACTCCTGGGCTCCAGTCCCACTCTCCCTGCCTCCTTTGGCTCTCTAGCCCCAGCGCCTTTGGTTTTTCCTGGGCCATCAACAGAACCCCCACCTTCTCCTTCTTTCTCCTCTCCCTCATCTGCCATTCTAGCCTAAACTCTCACACTTAGCACTTCTTTCCTACACTGGCCATGTTCCTCGAGTCTGCTATGTTAGGGATTAGGGTAAATTTCCATCCCCAAGTTTCTTACCCAGCCCCGTCATTTTAAGGCAGTTGGGGTAAGGGGGCAAGGAACTGGGTCCTCACCTGGGTTAATAAAGTTGTTTTTCTGGATTAAGAAAAGGTCATTTTCACACAGGAGTATGGAAGGGATAAGGGAGTCCTGGGGACAGCCCAGCAACATTTGCTATGTGTGACTCAGAAAAGGGAGCCCCGCCCACACATAAAGATGACTCAACTTGCCCTGCCTTGCCCACAGGCTTGGATCCAGGCTCTGGGTGGCTCTATTGCATTATCTACCTAGGACTAGGTGCCTTGGCCAAACATGCTTGAGTTAGATGCTTTTTTAGTCATGATGAGGACATGGTGACCAGTTTTTTTAAAAAAGACATTAGGACCTTTGGTCTGGATATGGAGACAAACTACCTAGATGAGTGCTTCAACCCCAAACAGGAACTAAGGCAGACTGCAGTGCCTATTATGACACCCAAATTCAAACCACACAGCACCTTATTAGTAGAATCCTTTTTTATTCAGAAAAAAAAAAACCAAAAAGTTTTCCAACCACACACAGGAGGGGGATGGGTAGGGGGGGAAATCTGTCCATCCAGCCCCTGCCCCCAGCCCATGTGGTTTTGGCAGCAATAAGGGATATTGGGTAATGGCCCAAAAATAAAAATGGTATATGTGTGTGTATGGGAAGGGAGGGGGGTGCAAAAGCTGTGGGGAGTGGTGGGGGGGGAAGAGGATGGACGAGGTCAGTACTGGGAACGCCGAAGGTGGGAGGCCATTTCATAACATTTCTTGTTGATCAAACCGCCATGGACACCTTCTTTGCCCATCAGCAGGACTAGCGCTATAGAGAAAAGAGAAAGGAAGCTAGGACCCAGGTGTCACAATTCAACCCCCTGCCAGCTGTTCAGCAGCTGTCCAGCCCTGGGGGCTGTAACCTAACCTCATGGCCCCCCTTCCCCCCACAGGCAGGCTGTCATTCATCCTGCAACAATAGGGCTTTTCAAAAAGAAAATCAAGCTTAAAGATTGGAGTGGAACAAGCTAAAATTCAAGGGTCAAAGGCTCACAGACAATTCATGCTAGGAATGGCTGTAGAGGAACCGACCACCTCCCAAGTTAAAAAAAAAAAAAAAAGCTCAGCCCAGAATTAAATGACCTAGAATCTGAGGAATCTACCAGTTCCAAGACAATAGCAATGGTAGAGTGCTTCCTAGCATGTTTGAAGCCCTGTGCTCAATTCCTCAGTACCACATAACCAGAAAAACGGAAGTAGAGCTATGGCTCAAGTGGTGGAGTACCTAGCCTTGAGCAAAAGCAAAAAGCAGCTCAGAGACAGTGTCTAGGCCAAGTTCAAGCCCCAAGACTGCCCCCCCAAAGGCTCACAAAATTAAGGGACTTTTAAGACATAATGCTGTGCAATATTTGTGCATGTGCCAATCCTGAGGCTTGAATTCAGGGCCTGGGCGCTGTCCCTTAGCTTTTTTGCTCAAGGCTAGCACTCTACCACTTGAACTACAGCTCCACTTTGACTTTCTTCTGATTAATTGGAAACAAAGAACTTCATGGACTTTCTTGTCCAGGTCTGGGTTTGAACTGTGATCCTCAGATCTCGCCTTCCTGAACAGTTAGGATTACAGGCAAAAGCCACCAGCAGTACCCACCTGCAGTTTCTTTACTAGATTATAAGACGAAGGACTATGAGCTGAAGGAACTACCTAAGGTTCTAGCATCTAGCAAACAGAATGGAAGTAGAATGCTGTTCTGATCCTCTTCATACTAGGGGGAACTCAGAAGACTGCAAGGAAGTATTATAGAAATCTCCAACCTTAGAGGGGTGAGACTCAGAAACTCACTCTTGGCAGTCATGGTGACAGTGACATTGAAGGTAGGGGCTCCGCCAGTACTCTTGGTACGAAGATCCATGGTGAATTCTCCGTCTTGTAGCAGTGAATCCCGGATCACAGAACATTTCTGGCCCCCAAGTGTCAGCCCATTCACAAAAAAACTTGACCGGTCTTTGCCAACCAGGACACCAACTTCAGCTGGCTGGAAGAGTAATCATTTATCCATGAGGTCAATGCACCAAGAATGTTTTAAGAACCCACCTCCTTCAAAGGATACCAACTTCAACTAGCTAAAAGAGGGATTAGTCCATCAAGGTTCCCCCCTTGTTCTCCTGCCTTTCTACTTCTCTGGGAGCTAGAAACCTGGGAGGGGTGGGGGAAAGTGGGGTAGTGGGGCAAGGGCTTCTACATTTCAGGGTAATTTGAGGAACATACTGTAAAAGCTTAGAAAATGGGACCAGAGAGGGATGGGTAACATTGCCCTGGAGGTTTTTAGTTGTTGGAATTTTAACAGGAAAAGCAAAACGAGGTAATTTGTGAGGCTCAATATCAGTAAGGAGAGGTGCAAAACCTTTGGATGCTCAGAACTCTCCTTCAGGAAAAGCAGAAGCGGAGAGGGGAAGGGAGGGGGCGGGTGAGGCAGGAGAAGCAACTTTGCCCTTATTTGGTCAAAGGTTCTGCAGGAGTTGCTAGGGGCCTGGACGCCTGGGTCTCCAAGTAACAGTACAGTTTGGTCCAGGTATCTGTGTCTCTAGATGAAGAAGACGACCTCTGGGGGCTTTCTCCGTTAAAGTTGGAAAAGTTTTTTTTTTGGGGGGGGACTGAGGGTGGGTACACACCAGGTGAGCCAGTTCTCCATTAGTTACCCCCAAGGAACCCTTCTCCCCTCCCCCCCTTACACCCTAAGCCCCCATATCCGGTACCCTCCCGCCCGGAAATCCCCTTCCCCCCCATTTGAACTTCCGCTCCCCCTCCCCACTTCCGGGCAGTGTGGCCTGGATAGGTGGTGAAGACTGAAGCAATCATGCCCCATGCCTTCACTCTCCCCTCTCAGAACTTCTCACAAAGTTCCCCCCGCAGCAGGCCTCGCCGGATGGCGGGAAGGGAGGGTGAGGGGACTTCCGGGAGTGGACTTGCAGGAATGCTGGAAGCCAACGAGTTTTGTGTGTGTCTGTGTGTGTGCGCGCGCGCGCGCGGCGGCCTCGCCTTCCCTAACGGAGCTGGGAGGGGCAAGGAGCCCACGGACTACCGGCGAGAGCCTCAGGCCACGCGTCTGGGGCTCCCGCACGCTGAGGGAGGAACAATGGTGGATGGGAGCGAGCTGGCGGCCCGGGAGACCCACGGGCCCCCAAATCCCTCTTCTCAATCACAACCCCCAGTTACCACTGCGGCGCGTGCCCGCCCTCCCGGGAGGAGGCGGAAGTGGGCCGCCGCCGGGCGCCGTGCCCCTCCCCGCGTGTGCCCCGGATGTAACGCCCCGTCGCAGAAGGGGTGGCAGGCGGGATGGGCGCCGCCACCCGGGGCGTGGGACTGGGGGGGGGGGCCGAAAAGAAGCCGCTCACATGCAGCCGCCTTCCGCGCCGCGCTCGGGGCAGGAGCCGGGCCACGACCTCCGGGGCCCTCGCTCAGGCCGCGCCCGCCCCCACTCGTCCCTCCCCCCGGGGGGGGGTCCGCGCCCGGCCGGGGCCGCCGCCCGCGCCAGCCTCGCCGTACCGTGATGTTGACGAAGGTTTTCTCAGGGACGGCGGCCCAGACGGAGGGCGAGTCCTTGTAGCCTACGATGGCCGCGTCCTGACAGGTCCCGTCCGCCATGAGGTTGTCGATGTAGGCGTTCCACCCGGACATGGCGCTGCTCGTGGGGCTGTTCTAGGCGCTGCTTCAAGGGGGCCGCAGGCTGGGCTCGGGCTGCTCGGGCTGGCGGGCGGGGGGGAGGCCGGGAGCTCTGGGCACGCGCTGCCGTCCGGACCGCGGCTCTGCTCGCTGTGCAGCAGCCCTCGCACCGCCACTTCCTGCTCCTCCCCCCCCCACCACTAGATTTTTATTTGCAATGGGCGGTAGGGGCGGGGCCTGCTCCCCACTCCTTCCCTCCCCCACCCCGGCTGCCCAGAAAGCGAACTTTTTGCAAATGCAATTTTAAAAATCCCTCCCCCCCCTCTTGCAAAATGTGCAGAGTTCGATGGAAAGCTATGTAAAAGAGCTCGCGTGGTGGTGGAGGAGGGGGGCCGGATCGAAGGTTTGGGGCTCACCTCACTTCGTATAGGGAATACAAGCCACACTTGGTGGTACAGGAAGAGAAGCAGCCGGAGGAAGGAATGAGAAAGGAGGAAGAAACTAGCAAGATGCAAATTGAACAAGGAGCAAATCTGAGAGTTCGGGGAACCCAGGGTTAAACGGAACGACTCCTCCTCCCCCCCACCTCCGCCGGAGGGAAGGAACGGCGGGCGGCGGCGCGTGCGCCCGCGCCTGCGCCGGGACCCGGAGGGACGGCGCGTGGGGCGGTTGGGGCCGGCGGCCGGCTGCGCGGGAGCGCGCGGCGCCGGGTGGATCTGGACTTTTCCTGGGATGGAAGGCGGGCCTGGGACACATCTCTCCCGCCTAGAGGGAGAGGCAGGGGCGCCGGCGTGTGCCGCCGCACTTTTTTTTTTACTGTTACTTATTTAAACAATAAAGGAGAATTTGGAGGAAAACAAAATAAAAAGGACACCATTATCCGGTCCTTTGCAGACCTAATGGTACCCACAGGACACCTGGCCCCGGGTGTGTCCCCGAGACGAACAGATCGGCTCATTGGAGCTCATCCCTACTCCTCTCTAGATGGGCTACGACCCAGGGCCTCGCCCCACGGCCCGGCCCCATCCGTCCTGGGGCCAGCGCGCGGGTCACCGGCCTTGCCCCTAGGCTCTCTTTGCAGAGGTCACTGGGCTGCGGGGCTCGCAGGGCGTGACGGGCGGAACTAATTTTTCGAGGCGGAAGAATAAAAAGTGACCAGGTTGGCAACTTTTTCAAAAAGAGGAAAGTCCCGTCTACTTCGTACCCATTCGGTTTTTCTCTCCCCCCCCCCATTCCTCCCCCCGGTCAAGCTTCTGTTAAATACTTGTGTGTGATCGGTTCGCTCGCAGCCCAGCTTTGGAGGCGAGAGGCGGCGACCGCAGGCTCGGGCGGCTGCGTTGGGTGAACCGATCACCCCTTGAGTTCTTTGCAGAGGGGCTTGGCCGCTTCCGGTCCCTCGGGGGAGGGGCGCCGGTTGGAGGAGGGCCGTGGAGATACCGGGGTGGGGGGGGCAAGGGGGTGCGCCCGGGTGGAGGGAAGGGTGCCGGGGTTCCGCAGCGCCTTCGGGGGAAGACTGGCAACTCCAGTGCTCCTGCGAGTCCGCCAGCGTTCTTCCTGTCCACCCCAGCCCCTGGCCCCGACGCCCCCCGAACCCGGGTTCCTCGACAGCCGCGAGATTGAGTCACTGGCTGATTTGGGTGGGGCTGCGCCCGGGCACGTGGCGGCGCTCCCCACCCTCCATCTCTTGACCTCTGGTCTGCACCCCAGGCTGGAAAAACCCCGAAGGGAGCGGCCCTGAGATAAGGGGGGGGGAGGGCTGAGACAGGAGAGTGGAGGACAGGTGGGGACCCTGGGGCAGGGAGACTGACCGCGGGAATGGGAAGGGCGGGGCAGCGTCCTGGGCACTGGGGTGAGTCACCCAGTGCGGGCTGCACGGGCGCCGGCGGGAGGGGCCTCGGAGCCGGGATGAGGATCCGAGATCTCCCGTCGGCTGGCCCAGATTGCAGCGGAACGAGGGACAAGACACACACACACATACACACACACCCTGCCCCCGGCCCGCCAGGGCGGAGAGAGCTGCGGGAGGGCAGCACCCCACTTCCTGCAGGGCGGCGGGCGGGCCGCGGGGTCGGCCTCCGCCACTACACTCACAAAAGGCCGCCCCTCCTCCCGTCCGTTCATTGATCCTCACTCCCAGTCTAACAACACTCCTCGATGGGCGGGGGTCGCGAGCCGAAGCGCCCGCCACCGGGGCGGGGGGCAGAAGGGTGGTGATCCGCGGGCTCCACGCGGGGCGACAAGTAGCTGCCCCAAGCGCTCCGGGCCGGGCGCAGCGCCCGCTCCCGGCGCCGTCTAAATCCGTCTCCTGCCCCCCTCCCTCCGCTAGCCTCGTCACTGCCTGCGAGGAGTAGGAAGGGTGGGGTGGGGTGAGGCCGAGGGGGCTGGTATGAGGACCCTGAGAGGTGAGACCCTCCTGCTTCTGGGGGGGGGAGGGTTCGATTTGAGATCTCACCTAGCCCCACGTCCCAGGTCCCTACCCCCCCCCCCCACGGAGGGAGGGCAGAGCTGAGCAAGTGTGGATGTCAGTCCTGCAGCCCCTCTTGCAGGCCCCCTCCCCAGCCCTGTAGGGATCAGGTTACTTCTGGCCTTTCCTAAAGGGCACTAGTTCCTCTTTAACCTTTGCAAAAGGGGAATATAATCCTGGGGAGGGAGAGACCCTCAACCTCAAGCCCTCCCCACTGCTCCTTCCAAGGGATGGAATTCAAAGTATGGCCTCCCCCCCCTTTAAAAAAATTAAGAAAAGAAAGTGTTTGAGGAAGTATACATTAGCCTTTGGGAAGGGGGCAGGTGCCCGAGGCCAAATGCTTCTGCTTTAGGCTGTAGTGGGCACTTGGTTGCCAGCCCAGGGGGGAGGGGGGAGGACTGAGCGAAGAGGCGGGGCTGGCCGGGGGACTGGGTGGCTTGGGGATAAATGCCCAGCCTGAGAGGGGGTGGGCTGACACTGTCCCAGCTGCCACCAAGAAGCAGAGTTCCAGGGAAGACATCCCAAGTCTGGTGAGACTTCCAACCACAGAGCATGCAGGTGTGGGTGGTGCTGACTTGGAGAAAATAAGGGAAATTTTCAGCTTTTATTTCCTCCTAGTATTGGGGATGCTTGAGAAAGATTGGCATTGCTGGAGCAAAGCAGGATGGACCATTTACTGGGAGTACCCAAGGATGAAGGGAAAGGAAGCTTGGGAACAGAGAATGGAGAAAGTTAGAGTTGGAGAACTTAGGGCCCAGGAGGATTTTAGATCAGGACCCTGAGAACCAGGTGATTTAATGGCTAGGAAACCTTGTCCAACAGACTGCATGACCAGGAAGGATAAGTTGTGTGTTAGTGGCTCATGCCTATAACCCTAGCTTCTCAGGACGCTGTGAGATTCCAGGATCATGGTTCGAAGTCAGCTTGGTAGGGAAAGTCCATGAGACTCTCATCTCCAATAAATTACAAAAGAAAGAAAAGCCGGAAGTGGCTTGTGGCTCAAGTGGTAGAATGCTAGCCTTGAGCAAAAGAAGCTCAGGGACAGCAGCAGGCCCAGAGTTCAAGCCCCAGGACTGGAGAAAGAAAAGAAAGAGAGAAACCAATACAGAGAGAGAAGGAGAGGAAGAAAGGAAAGAAGAAGGAATAGTGCAGCAGCTTTTGGAGAGTTGGAGGTTCTCAGAGTGGTGTGGGACCCCAGGAGTGATAAAGCAGAGACCTAGGAGTTCTTGGGACTCCGGGTGGAATAGGAGCCATTCTGAGTGGGGGAGGGGCTGGGCCTGCCTCTTGGTCTGTGACCTTTTTATAAGTTATATTTAGCTTCAGCACCTGCCTTCTTGGAGTGGCAAATCCTTTGCTCTTAAAGGGCAAGGGATTTCTAGTTCCTTAAGGGATCAACTGTCACACTAACTCACACCTCTTGTGGTATAGCCATGGCCATGCAGAAAATCTTTGCTCGGGAAATCCTGGACTCCAGGGGAAACCCCACAGTGGAGGTGGACCTGCATACAGCCAAGGGTAACTGGCTCATTGACTTGGTTTCCCTTAGAAGACCCCACCCCACTTGGCCTTTGTCTCCCAATTCTGTGCCTTGCCTTACCCTTCTGGGGTTTTCCTTCCCAGGCCTTCCCTGTTTAACTGGGCTCCAAAACTGAGGAAGACGTGTGTGTGTGTGTGTGTGTGTGTGTGTGTGTGTGTTCTTCCTTTTGTGTGTGTGTGTGTGTGTTCTTTCTTTTTCTGTCTTCTTCTTCCCTCCCTCCACAGTCTTCAGTCCCTGGGCCTACAGAGGAGACCCTAGCACTTGGGAGAATGCTCTCTGACCTTTCCATTCCTCCTGTCCCAGGACGATTCCGAGCTGCGGTGCCCAGTGGAGCTTCCACGGGTATATATGAAGCTCTGGAACTAAGAGATGGAGACAAAGCACGCTACCTGGGGAAAGGTGAGCAAAAGCTAATGAAGAGAAAATTGTGTGGGTGGTTTCAGGACATGAGCTCACAGGGGTAGAGGACTGGATCTCAAAGCCTATGGCAGAGGCCTGTTCCACTTGGAATTGAACCCCCTTCTCTGGCTTCTAGGAGTGTTGAAGGCTGTGGAACACATCAACAAGACTCTGGGTCCGGCTCTGCTGGAAAAAGTAAGTTGGAGGGGCCAGCTCCCCTTTTCTCCTCTTCCCCCATGAAACCACCCTCTCTCCCAAGTATTTTCACTTGTCCTTTCTCCTCTTACACATGCCCTGACTCTGGAGAGAAATCTGACCTCTGCCCTTCTCTCTTCAAACCTGTCTTTCCAGAAACTAAGTGTTGTGGATCAAGAAAAAGTCGACAAGTTTATGATTGAGCTGGATGGGACAGAGAATAAGTGTAAGCAAAGGGCCAGAGCTTGGGGAAGGAGTATAGCACAGGAGGAGGGGTCGAGAGAAACCACAGAGGCTGAGATCTGGCTGAGGTTATTTTTGTGTCCCACATCCTTGGGCACATCATCGCTGGATGGCTTTTTATTCATTCCACAGGCATTTCCTGATGCCTGTCCTCTGCCAGGCAGCCACTTGGCTGTGGACACAGATGTGAAACTGACACTTTCATTCTCCTGAGGGGAGAAGAGGGCTCTGAGGTCTGCTGCAAGGCTGGGGAGGGAAAGATAAAATAAAATGTTGGTGCTCCATGCCTTGGAGCTTTGGCTTCCTCCTAACTTAATGTACAAGGAAAGAATTTAATGCCTTGCAAGAGAAGATCTTACTCTTTTCTTCCCAATTGCCTCCTTCCAGCCAAGTTTGGGGCCAATGCTATCCTGGGCGTGTCCTTGGCCGTGTGTAAGGCTGGAGCCGCTGAGAAGGGGGTCCCACTGTACCGGCATATTGCAGACCTTGCGGGGAACCCCAACCTTGTACTCCCAGTGCCGGTAAGTATGGTCATCCCTTCCAGATCCCCAGTGGAAAATGTACCTTTTGGAATTTAACCAGCTCCAAATGAGCAGTTTCCTGAAATCAAACCTCTCTTGCTGAGCTGCAGCCCCTCCCTCTTTCCCACAATCCACACCATCCACTTAGCCTGGCTGTGTAACTCAGTACCTTCATTAAGTAATTCTTTTTTCTTTCCTTTTCTTTTCTTGGTACCAGTCCTGAAACTTCAACTCAGGGCCTGGACGCTGTTCCTGAGCTTTTGTGCTCAAGGCCAACACTCTACCACTTGAGCCACAGCTCCACTTCTGGCTGGCTTATTTTTGTTGTTGTTGGGGTGATCATGGGGCTTGAACCCTGGGCCTGGACACTGTCCTTCAGCTCTTCAGCTCAAGGCGAGTGCTCTACTACTTGAACCACAGTGCCATTTCTGGTTTTCTAGTGGTTAATTGGAGATAAGAGTCTCACGGACTTTCCTGCCCAGGCTAGCTTTAAACCTCAATCTTCAGATCTTAGCCTCCTAAGTAGCTAAGATTACAGGTATGAGCCACCAATACCTTGCTCACCTTTGGCTTTATGTTGTTGTTAGTGGTGGTCGTGGGGCCTGAACTCTGGGCCTCACCTCTTCAGCTCAAGGCCCTACCACTTGAGCCACAGCACCACTTCTGGCTTTTTCTGCTAAGCTGGTGCTGAGGAATTGAACCCAGGGCCTCATGCACGTGAGGCAAGCACTACCCACTGAGCCAACTTCCCAGCCCCTCACTTCTGGCTTTTTGATGGTTAATTGGAAATAAGAGTCCCACAAACTTTCCTGCCCAAGCTAGTTTTGAACCCCAATCCTCAGATCTCAGTCTCCTGAATAGTTAGGATTACAGACATGAGCCATCAGCACTTCCTCTTAAGTTACTTATTTGTTTGTTCATTGAGCCAGTACTGGGGTTTGAACTCAGTCAGAGCCTGGGAGTTTTGCTCAAAGATGACACTCTTACCAGTTCTGGCTTTTAGGTGGTTAACTGGAGATAAAGGAATCTAATGGACTTTACTACCCTGGCTGGCTTCAGACTGTGATCCTCAGATCCTCCTGAGTAGCTAGGATTTCAGGCTAGGATTTCGTTATTTTTATTATTATTATTACTATTATTATTTTGTTGGTTGTAGGGTTTGAACTCTGGGCTTGGGCGCTGTCCCTGTGCTCTGCAGCTCAAGGCAAGCGCTCTACCGCTTGAGCCACAGTGCCATCTGGTTGTCTAGTGGTTTATTGGAGATAAGAGTCACATGGACTTTCCTGCCGGCTGGCTTTTAACTGTGATCCTCAGATCTTAGCCTCCTGAGTAGCTAGGATTACAGGCATGAGCCACTGGTGCCTAGCTTAATTATTTTTTTTCTCTTTCATTTTAATTCTTTTCAATTCATTTGATTCATTTTAGCTCATTTCATTTTTTGATCACTAAATAAATTCTAGACTCTAGACTCACTCCATCCTTAATTCTCCAAATCAGATTGACAGCTCTTCACAGCAAAAAAAATCCTTACATGTCTCTGTATCTTCCTTAGTCCTTATTAAACCAATGCCCTCTTAATGGAAACTCTTTGAGTTTAATCTCAGTAATGTTATCATGTATTGTTACTAGGAAGATGTGTAAGAACATAGACTCTAAAGATAACAGCTGACCCTGTATACTTACTACTTGTGTGATTTGAGGCTCCCTGAGCCTGTTTCCTTAGTAAAGAAAGTGGAATAATAATATCAAGTGAATAGAGGTTTTGGGGTGTTTTTTGTTTATTTTTGCTGATCCAGGGGCTTGAACTCTGGGCCTGGATGCTGACCCTGAGCTCCTTTGCAGAAGCCCAACCTCCAGTTCCTTTTTTCTTTTTCTTTTCTTTTTTTTTTGCCAGTCCTGGGGCTTGAACTCAAGGCCTGGGCACTGTCCCTGAGCTTCTTTTGCTCAAGGCTAGCACTCTACCACTTGAGCCACAGCATCACTTCCGGCTTTTTCTGTGTATGTGGTACTGAGGAATTGAACCTAGGGCTTGGTGCATGCTAGGCAAGCACTCTACCACTAAGCCACATTCCCAGCCATTCCTCTCTTCTTGACCTCTCACACTTTGGCCCAATGTCTGAATACCCTCTCCCTGTCTCAGGCCTTCAATGTGATCAATGGGGGCTCCCATGCTGGAAACAAGCTGGCCATGCAGGAGTTCATGATTCTGCCAGTGGGAGCCAGCTCCTTCAAGGAAGCCATGCGTATTGGTGCCGAGGTTTACCACCACCTCAAGGGGGTCATCAAGGCCAAGTATGGGAAGGACGCTACCAATGTGGGGGACGAGGGCGGCTTTGCACCCAACATCCTGGAGAACAATGAGGGTCAGTGCTGAGCACCCTGGGGCACCAGACCCCCCCTGGGTAGCCACGGGTGTTGGGCAGGAGTGGCTGCACACATGTGTGGGTTCTCAAGTCTCAGGTCTTTTCCTGTTCCTCTCCCAGCTCTGGAGCTTCTGAAGACGGCCATCCAGGCAGCTGGTTATCCAGACAAGGTGGTGATTGGAATGGATGTTGCAGCATCTGAATTCTATCGCAATGGGAAGTACGATCTTGACTTCAAGTCCCCTGATGATCCTGCCCGGCACATTACTGGGGAGAAGCTTGGGGAGCTGTACAAGAGCTTCATCAAGAACTATCCTGGTGAGGCTGGGAATGTGGCTGAGTGATAAGCCCTGGGTTCGATTCCTCAGCACCACACATAGAGAAAAAGCCAGAAGTAGCACTGTGGCTCAAGTGGTAGAGTGCTAGCTTTGAGCAAAAGAAGCTCGGGGGGGCTGGGAAGGTGGCTCAGTGGTAGAGTGCTTGCCTTGCATGCATGAAGCCCTGGGTTTGATTCCTTAGCACCACATAAGCAAAAAGAAAAAAGCTGGAAGTGGCGCTGTAGCTCAAGTGGTAGAGCGCTAGCCTTGAGCTGAAGAGCTGAGGGATAGCACCCAGGCCCAGAGTTCAGGCCCCACAACCGGCCCCCCCCCCCAAAAAAAGAAGCTCAGGGACAGTGCCTAGGCCCTGAGTTC